TTCACACATACTTGGTCTCCATTCCAGTACCGCATTCACGTACTCAGGAGCGAGAGGCATGGTCCAGAAGTTTAAGCCAAGTAGGAGAAACTTGTAAGAGTGTTAACGTTATTGGGGATCAGCCCCAGTTCTGCAGCTTTACTTCTCCCATTTAGTGTTTGGTTCTTTGGGAATTTTACTGCTGTGTTTAAGATAATATGCTAAAGAAAAGTTACTGTTTGTATTTTTTATTGGTGCTGTAACAAATTACCACAAATTTAGCATTTTAATTCAGGTTTATTATAATATAATTCTGTAGGTCAGATGTTCAGATGAAAGCTGGGAATGGTTGTACATGTGCTTATAATCCCAGGACTCAGAAGGCTGAGGCAGGAGGAGTGCTGGGAGTTTTAAGATGGGCTACATGGTGAGTTCAAGGCCAGCCTGGAATAATGAGACCCTGTCTCAAAAAATCCAAAAAAAAAAAAAAAAAAAAGGTCAGATGAGCTGTGCTGATTTCTCTGCCCTGGGTGTCAAGGCTAAAATCTGATGTCAGCAGGCCTGTGTTGTAAATCTGAAGGATCAGGATCAGGGTTTTGTGTGTGTGTGTGTGTGTGTGTGTGTGTGTATAGAAGGATTCCAATGTGAATGTGTGAGTTTGAAGAATCTATTTCTATGCACAGTGCAGTCTCTTGAAATAGGGCTGAGGTGTCTTTTCTGTCTCTTATCTCCTTAGAATATCTGCATTACTTCTTATCCCCCTTCAAATGAAGTGCCTCGAGTCCCTAACTTCTGCCCTATTTGTTGTGTATCTTTGCTTTTAAGGGCTTCTGTAACTAGAATGAGCCAATGAGGATAACCTACCTATTTTAAAGTCTGTAACCTTACCATATCTGAAAAGTCCCTTTTAGCATTTTTTCAGGTTTCAGGGATTAAGATGTGGACATTCTTCAGTCTGCCTAACACACCAGTGATGTTTCAAGGGGTAGGAATCTAGATAAATTAAAGGAGGATAAAAAAGTTGGTACTTTAATTTTGCAGGTTGGTGTTCCTAATTGAAAAATCTGAAATTCAAGCCTTTTGAGTATTATGTCAGTACTGCACTCAAAAAGTTTTGGATTTTGGTTTTAATTAAATGTTTTGTTTTTGGTTTTTGAGACAAGGTCTTGCTATGTAGTTCAGGCTCGTCTTGAACTCAGTATGTAGCCCAGGCTGGCCTTGAATTTGCAGTTATCCTCCTGCTTCAGCCTCCTGAGTGTTGGAATTACAGGCCTGAGCCACTACTTCCGGCTGTATTTTGGATTTCAGATTAGGGATGTTCAATTAATAAAGCCTATGAAAATACTCCAAAGTATGAAAAACTCTGAAATCTGAAATACTTCTGGTCTTAGCATTTTAAATGAGATACTCGTTTTCTCATTTTTTCTTTTCCCTTTTTTCCTTTCCCCTACCCCTCCCACTTCCCCTACTCCTTTAGACCTTTTTTCCTATTACACAATATCAATTATACATTTTTAAAATTACAATATCATATCTAGGAGACATTACCGCAGATTTTGCA